CAGCTCTGGTTGTTCAATAAGGTGTGGGTTGACAACATCAGCTCCAGTTTTCACAGATGTCCGAATCAGGCGAAGTTGGCGTTGCGAAATCACTACTCATCATTAACCACATGTTCACTGGAGGCACAGGAATGGGTAAGGTGCAATCATGAGGAACAGGTCGAATAGCTGCTGGAAGATGGGGGTAGTGGATTTCGTCCTTGATTCGGTTGGTGATTCAAATGACATTGGTTAGGCAGTAGTAGTAGTAGTCTTTCGTGTGATGCTTTGGGTCCGACCACGCCATGGGGATTGCAAGGGGCATCTTGCCTTTGCGCTTGAGCCAATGATTCAGATGAATATTGTACGATTCACAAACATTATCCGGTGCCCACTTCTTATCATGATCTCCCAGTTTCATCCCGAAATATGCGTGGTAAGCATACTTCAGTAGTGAAGTAATGGAACTGCACTGCGACTTTGTAGTGCACTGTCCACAGAGGTAACAAAAATGATTTCGATCATTGACACTGCAGCGTCTTTGAGCCATGCTCAAGATATCAATTAAGGAAACACAGCTCTCAATCGACTTTCAGTACCAGGTGGATACCATGACCAATAGGACTTTTTTCCACGATTACAGGGAGTCAATGGACTAATCACAGGCGAGCATTTGATGCATGGAACGCACTGCTTAGCTGACATGAATTGAAATTCAAGAATCCCGACATAGTAAACAAACATTCGGTTTGCGTATTCATAATCAGCTCTCTTGGCACTACTAGAAACATCCTATTTCATTTCTGTTGTAAAGATGTTACACAGTGTAATCGTCAATTGTGCTCAGTGTAGCAAATTCAGTCTATACCATCTAAATCCCCTTGTAAGTTAGTGCTCCGTCTAGGCTTCCTAAAATACCGCAAGTTGACACTTAGTTATTGGAAGCCCCTTACTGTATGGCTATGCTGTTCTTTGCGTGACAGTAACATGGGAAGCCAATGAAGAGGAGACCGTGCTATAGCACATCTATTAAATCAAATCGCTCGTTGTGTCTCTCAGTGGTCATTACACCTCTTAAGAGTGAAGTCGCGGATTCTAGTCTCACATGGGGTAGATGGAATGCTGATGATTCCCGAATGGACGAAATGACAATTTGGTGTTTTTCCGGATGCGTGTCGGCTGTCTGCTTGAGTCTAGTTAGGATGAATTGGGCGTAGTAGTAAACTCCTCATGATTCCCCATTAACTTTTCGGTTTATTTCTCTTTTCCATATTTTATTCCTGTTGTCCCTGAATTTTCTTGTCACCACTGTTAAAAGCTGCGTTTCTGAGCTGGATTGAACAACTTATCATCGTCCTCGATGATCTCAAGCTTTTTTCCATCTCTGTTTTTTAAGGTTACGAAAGAACGAACTGCCCAATGCTTCCTTCGGGTAGACGATGAGTCTATGCAGAAGTTCCACAACCGAGTGCGACAAATCCTCATGGCTTCCGGCTCCACTACTTTCACGAAAATCGTGAACAAATGGAACACAGCTTTGATCGGTCTAATGACCTACTTCCGCGAGGCTGCTGTTAGCACTGTTCCACTGTTAGATTTATTGGTCAAGTGCGAAAACAAAATCCAAACTAGAATCAAAATTGGTTTGAATTCGAAGATGCCCGCACGCTTCCCACCTGTTGTTTTCTATACACCAAAGGTGAGCATGATGCGCCCCCTTCTCTCTTAATACATCTTCAAATATTTCGCTCCATCTTACCTCGTTACTGACCAACGTTCCCAACCGGTTGTTGCACCGATTCGCTTTTGTGCCGTATTTAGATCCTGACCCTGTGGCATGCGTCGCGTAATAATTTATCATCCGCTTGTCAATCGTTGACGTCGTCATTTTCACTTATCCTCCTCATTTTATTTCACAAACTAATCCATTTGCTTCACTTGGCTTACCTACTCGTAGGAACTGGGTGGTCTCGGTATGCTGAGTATGGGCCACGTTCTCATACCACAGTCCGACTTACGTTGGTCCAAGCAAACAGATGTAGGAATCACACATTTCCGGTCCGGCATGAGCCACGAGGAAGATCAGGTCATTCCAAACTTGTTCTCCTACATTCTTACATGGGAAACCGAATTCCGGGATTCGCAAAGTGTCTGGGCCGAATACGCACTGAAACGACAGGAAGCAAACGCGCAGAACAGGTAATTGTTTCGGTTCGCATTCATGTAAGACATCCCCGGTCCATAACTTCCGTGTTTAGCTGATCGGCAGGTTGCTACTTGTATGATATTGGTGCTTACCATTGTTTTTCCAAAGCGTGAACCGGCTTACATGATTTACCCTAACTGAACCGTGGTTAGAGGCCATAATGCATGGCACAGTCGCGCAACCAGGGGCGCCCCTGCATTTGATTTCTTTCACCTAACCATTATTATTTCATCCATGTTAATCTAACTTGCTCCCTAACCACTTTCTTTGTTTCCTGTATGCGCCGTACCTCACTTATCATTATTGCTATCTACGGTTATCCTGAGTCTTACCAACTAGACCCACCTCATTGCGGCGTGCGGATTACAGTTGTTTAACTGAGCTAAACTAAGTCGCGTCCTGCATCCATTGCTGTCTATTCTGCTGAGTGATTTACTATCCTAGCACATAGTTTGTGCTCCATTTAATGAGCTGTCATCCACACGCGCAAATTGAACTTGGCATGCACATGATCCCGTGTATTTCATACTTATCATTACTATTGGACACCGTTGCGGTCCAGTTCTTACTTACAAAGATACTGTTATCTGTTCACAGGAGGTTGACTCTGGAGGATCTGGAGGATAGCTGGGATCGCGGGATACCCCGCATCAACACTCTCTTCCAAAAGGATCGACACACTCTCGCTTATGACAAGGGCTGGCGTGTGCGTACTGAATTCAAGCAATATCAGGTACTCAAACAAAATCCATTTTGGTGGACCCATCAACGTCATGACGGGAAGTTGTGGAATCTGAACAATTATCGTACCGATATGATCCAGGCTCTCGGTGGTGTGGAGGGCATCTTGGAGCACACTTTATTCAAGGGCACTTACTTCCCAACCTGGGAGGGCTTGTTCTGGTGAGTCAAGTCCGTAGAGTCTAGTATTTATGCTGTGTGCTCTATTTAGGCCATCGTCCTCTTCGCAAAGCTCATTTTCGTTGGCCATATTTTCCATATTCGTATACGTTTGTTCCGTCTTACTATCGCGTTTGTGTCCCTATACAATGCATACCTACAGTTACGTCTCGGCTTGTTTTTCCAGCAGCTTCTCTGAGTTCTAATTTTCCTTTTTTACAATATTTACGCTTTCTATAGGGAAAAAGCCAGTGGTTTTGAGGAGTCCATGAAGTACAAGAAGTTGACCAATGCTCAACGTTCTGGTTTGAACCAAATTCCAAATCGCCGCTTTACCCTTTGGTGGTCGCCTACCATCAATCGTGCTAACGTATGTACCATTTTCCGTTTACTTCTATCCAGCTTTAAAATGGCCATTTTTACGCTAAGGTCGCGCCGTCGGAAGCGCATACGGCAATGCGACTATATGTTCTCCTAACTTTTCTTCCGAGTACACGAATCAGGCAGAATGAGTTTACTGAAACTTTCGGCTCACTTCACTAAACTCAGTTCTCACGTTATTACTTTTTCAAAGTAACTATGCAGTTGCCGCCAAATCAGCATCAGTGTTGGAACTATGTCGTCAACCGGCACACCGCCTGCGTTGTCTTTTCCTTTAATCTGCATATCGTAGCACTCTTGGTATGTTTGCGCTCACCTTTCAGTTGCATTTTGCCATACTGTGCCTCACTCTCAACTACCTTGTTCGTTTTTTCCTAGGTTTACGTCGGTTTCCAAGTTCAGCTCGATCTTACTGGTATCTTTATGCACGGTAAAATCCCCACACTGAAAATTTCCCTCATTCAAATCTTCCGTGCTCATTTATGGCAAAAGATTCACGAATCCGTGGTTATGGACATATGTCAAGTCTTCGACCAGGAACTAGATGCGTTAGAGATTGAGACTGTACAGAAAGAGACCATCCATCCCAGAAAATCATACAAAATGAATTCTAGCTGTGCCGACATCCTACTTTTCGCCTCCTACAAATGGCCGGTTTCCAGGCCTAGTTTGTTGGCTGACTCAAAGTATGTCATTAACTTTTCTCCACTGTTTACTCGTTGAACAATTTACTTTCCTCACTACAACTATTTAACTCTTTCAGAGATCTCATGGATGGCACTACCACGCAAAAGTTCTGGATCGACATACAGCTTCGCTGGGGCGACTATGATTCCCACGATATCGAACGCTATGCTCGTGCAAAGTTCCTCGATTACACAACGGACAATATGTCAATTTATCCTTCACCGACAGGCGTCATGATCGCCATTGACTTGGCCTATAATTTGCACAGGTTGGTCCACATCCATCGTGCCCAGTTTGCTTTCAGCGTTCACTTTCTATCAACTGTTTGCGCATTTTCTTCGATCATTGTAATCCATATGTCAGAAGTTGGCCTTGTAAGTTCCGAACTAGTTATTAACACGCATCGCGACCACATAATTATGGACCTCAGTATCGCATCCCACCTCTCTTTGAATCCGCGTTTGTTGTTACTTTTACTGACCAAGGATAACGTTCCACACTCTTATCACCGCTTTTTTTGGAGCGCAGTTCACGCTTTGTTCCATTCTGAAGTAACTTACCATTTCATCGGCTCTCATTGCGTCCGTATTTTCCCGCATATGTCATGTTTTCTACCTCGCGATAGCATCTGCTGCTTCAAGTTGCAGCCACGCCTCCATTATTTTGTCATTATCCCTTCTCCTTTTCAGTGCCTATGGTAACTGGTTCCCCGGTTGTAAACCGCTGATACAGCAAGCCATGGTCAAAATTATGAAGGCAAATCCTGCTTTGTATGTACTCCGTGAACGCATTCGGAAAGCTCTGCAACTTTACTCCAGTGAACCCACTGAGCCTTATCTCAGTTCGCAAAATTACAACGAATTGTTTTCCAATCAAATTATTTGGTTCGTCGATGATACTAATGTGTATCGCGTCACTATTCATAAGGTAAGTCCCGATGCGGACTTTTTTTACTTACCTCCTTAGTAATTCACCCGCGATGCAATATATTGTAGGCGATCCGTGATTCGTGACACGGGTTCAACCTCGAATGACGATGTCTCGCGCTGTGATCACATCCACGAGTCCACTTGTACTGCAAACCAACTTGGCGCCTATCGTTGTCACAATTTCTCGCCAATTCTCACGATAAATTGTGCGCGTCAGGAGTGCTCTATGTACCTTACCACTTAGTCTCTTGATCAAGATAATCATAGCGGCTCAGCCCTCTCCGCTTCTTCTAGGGTGAATGCCCACTAACACGCCGATGACGTAGGTCATTTTGCGGTTGATTCAGCTCCTGTTCAACCGCTGTTGCTGACGCAAAGCGCTACTCATTTCTACGTTGTCGACATTTTCGACATTGCCACGACGCGAGTCGTGGCAACTGTATTCAATGCACTTTGCTGTTTGTTTAACCGAATTGACCACTGGCTTGCATCTATGCCTGCTGATTTTCATACTTGACAGACCACTGCGTGCACATGTGTTGGTGTCTAATTTATGATGCATTGTTTATATTCACTCGTGCTTTGTTCCTCTGCTTCGCCTTCTTGAAAGTACACCGTATTTGAAGTTAAAACGTTGACGAGGCGACTCCCAGCGTGGGCTAATCATTGGAGGCTGGCTTGGAAGTAAGTCGCTTGGGAACGTGAGATAGTTAATCCCCGCCCCTGATGGCCCAGTCGATAGACCTTTATTAAAATGGTGATCCGATCATCATCATGACACGTTAGCTAAAATGCATCAACCATTGCGCCGCAATACAAAAAGATCAGCTATATGAAAAAGCGAGATACTGATCCTTACATAATACAAAAACCCATAACAAACAATATGTTGTTTCGTACAATATTATACATCGAGTGTGCGATCGTAGTTGGAGAAGAAACCTAAGCTGGTAAGAAAGGACAAAGAAAATCACAACCAACGCTATTGAGCCCAGCTCTTCACCGTGCCAACATGTACATCCACTCAGACGAGTTCCTCATCCTTGGTACCCAAGACTGTCGAAGTTGAACGAGGTCGCTGGACCAGATGACCTTCCTCTAGCCCTGTTCGAATTCGGGGTACCTGCTTTTGTGGATGTTTTGAACTAGTTACTCGCGAAACTTTGGGAGCATGAAACCGTCCCAACCGACGAGCTGCTACATTATTGTCCCGATCTTCAAGAGGTGCTCACGTTCGAAATGCGGTAACCATAGAGAAATCAGTCCGATTTCCATCGCCTCCAAATTGCTTGCCTCTGTAATCCTTCAAAGACTGGCTGACACTCGTGAAAGCCAGATTCGTGAGGAGCAAGCGGGTTTCGTCGAGGTCGAGGCTGCATCGACCAAATCTTCACTTTGTGTCAATTGTTGGGGCGCCGTTGTGTTCCTCGAAATCAAAGGCGTCTTCGATTCGGCGCATCTATGTGCCCTTTGGGACTGTTTACTAAGGAAAAGTGTGCCCGAGAAATATGTAAATATTATCCGAGCGCTTTACGCGCGTAGCTCGAGCAGAGTGAGGGCTTATGACAAGCTGTCGACACCCTTCAATATCTTCAGCGGTATAAGGTAGGGATACCCGCTGTCAGCTTTCCTCTTCAACTTCCCTGTTGACGAGATCATGAAGATCGCGTTCACAGGACACTACTTGGGTGTAGAACTGCTTCTAGGTGAATGGCTTCTTGACTTAGAGTATGCTGATGACATTGTCCTCATTTGTAACAGCTCACAAACATACCAAACAACACTAGACAGACAAACACTGACTGTTACTCACTTCGGGCTTTGCTTTTCACACTCGAAGTGCAAAGCTTTCCTCCAAAATTGGCAGGGATCGCCTCCTGCGCTGACCCTTGGTGGGGATCAGCTAGAAGTCGTTCAGAAATTCAACTACCTGGAAAGATGTATCAGCGCCTGTGGAATCGACCACGAAATCACGAACCATATAACAAAACCTCGAGGCGCCTTTGCTAACCTTCGTCACCTATGGCGCCGGCGCGACATTACTTTGAAGGGTATAGTGTACTATGCAGCCGTACGTCCGACCCTGCTCTACGGTTGTGTAACGTGGCCCATTAGATCGGAAGATGTAAAGAGGCTAGCTTTCTTCGACCACCGTTGCCTTCGCAGTTTAGCTCACATCTAGTGGGAACACTGCGTTAGCTATGAGCGTTTTCGGCGCCTTGTTTATGGCACAGGAAAAGGAACTGAACCGCTCAGCATCTCTATTTCACGAACCAGGCCACGTGTATGCCGGCACACCGACTCCTTTAACGGGCGTTGTTTACGCGCCGGGAGCGTGGATGGAAAAAGAGGAAAGGAAGCCAATCGACGACATGGTCAAAAGGAATGAGGACCTTCACTTCGAAGTTGGCTTCGGATGGAGCTTCTCGGCTCCCTGCTTGGGGCCCAAAAGACAATAACAAAATTGGCTGCATGCACTTGTTGACATAACTAAGAGCCGACCTCAGTGGCGTTTGTGTGGTGAGCTTTTTTTGTCCTTTCCCCTCTAACCACGACATTCATGAAGCACAACAGCCGGCTTCTAGCTGTCCAGAACGATGTCTATCTATTACTGGTGACTCAGTTGGCGCGACCGTGTTGCGTCTCTCTATTATTTTTTTCTTCGTGTGTGTTGCAGTACAATGGCTGAGGTGTCCCCGCTAGCTAAAGTCTATAATGAATGATAAGTGGTACCCCAGCCTTGTAGTCGGGAAACATCAACCAACACCCAGTTCGGATTGCGAGTTACTCGATAGAAAGTGGCAACACCGTTGCTGTTATTTTCATGCTGACACCTTGAGGTTCGTGGCATAGAAGTTCTGCTCCATAGGCTTCTGTTTTCACCTGGCGATAGCTTTTTATCTGCTCGAGAATTGCATTCTATATTTTGATCAGCAAAGTAAGCCTAACGGCACCCATTTGCCCGTGGGTGGACACAATCGTCACTCATTTGAATCGACACAACTAATTTTTATCTTGTTTGTCTATTCGTTTTCCTTTGTTGGCCAAATACGTCACGATACATCAACCGCTACCAACTGATTCTGTATACACTTAATAATTCGTGATTAACTGATTCACCTACTCCATCGTTGTTTAACCTTACCACTAACCAGTCTGTTCCCACTTGGCAATAGTTGAAGTTAATCGACAGTGCGGCACTTACCACCAGCCCCGCTAACAACAGACTCCTCGATATTCCGTGCAGTTAAGTATCACAACTTTTCGAGGTTTTTCTACGCACATAACATTTCCAAATTCATCCATTCGCTCGATAAATGTTCGATTTCATCTCCTGTCGTTTCTTCTCGCCCTAATTTGTATTATCCATACACTTGAGCTATTGGGATCAGAATCGGCTTGCGCCAGGAATGGACGTCCTTGTAATCTCTTTTCATTCACATCTACTAGTACACTTTAACTATCAAACCTCATGCTATTGCTGAACTTAACGTTGTCTTAGAGTCCGCTCCCAAGAGACAGCCTTGGCCAGTTCGCTTCGTTGTCATCGGCGTTTAAGTGATTGCAACAGTTAGAAACTCTTCACCTCACGGCACCAACACAGTGGTGTGTAGTTCTGCTTACTCGTATTGTCCATCAAGCCGACCCGTCTCATATTCAATTTGCTCTACCGCAAGTCTCCTACTTACCAGTACTCGTCCCCGCAATTGTTCTCCGAATCATCACACACACTTTCCTTTATTTGCCCGCTTTTTTGCCTTACGATCAGTAGTCGTACTAATTGTCATGCGAATTTACTCACAAAGGGACTAAGCCGAATCTCTCAGTCCGATAATGTTTCCATCACCTTCGCATTGGTCACTCATGTCTCGTTACTTAAATAGTGGAAAATCGGAGGCAATCAGATAGAATATGCGAATTGCAACCGACCTATTGTCCAATAACTACCTGACTCTAAATTACACTGAGTGTGATTCGCTCCTGTGTGAAAACTCGCGGGGTTAAAGCTCGCAGACCGATCTCGGGTTATTTTGGCTACTCGTGGTTCTTTGTACCTACGATCAACAAATGCATATTGTTTTTGTATCGGTCATTTGTTTAGATACACCATGTTGGAGCATGAATGGGGCAGCACATAATTGGAACTGAGTGCTTACCTTAAAGTCATCGGTGATTGGCCGCTTTTTCTCTGTTCTCATTTTACCTCTATGCATACTTTAAGTGTCTTTATATTTTCATCAGCCTGTGAGTATTTGCGCCGGTTCTATTACATCCCATTTCTTCTCCAGTGCCTGTTGTTTGTTATAGCTCTTCTTAACCTCCGTAACACATCTCTATTCTACCTCTTTTTATAATAGCTTATCTGACGCAATTTTTATTATTTTATCAGGATTTACTATGTGATCTACTTAGCTTCATACAGAATACTGAGAGTAGAGAACGAGAAGAGAAAAAACCTGTGTTGCTCCATCGTAGGTGGATCGAGCACATGCGTGGAATCACGTCGCTGATTCCTGCGCAGTGGCAGCATATTGCAGCTGCATTACATTTTATCCGGGTGCGATTCGCTCCCTATACCTGTAGTCCGCAAAGTGGGCGCCAAAGAATCTCTTAAATTCCAACCCCGATTTCATCTCGACTATTGTCTCAGTCAACATTCCACTCGACGCGCGAAGCATAGTGAGCGATGCGCTTTAAGTCCGGTACCAATGGTTTGTACCGGTGTCCACGTGTGCTGCTCCGTGCGCGAATGTGCAGCAGCGGCTTCAAATTGGGAAAGTGGCCCAGGTGCAATATGCAGTGCGTCATAATGAGATCAACTCGAAGCCCACGATATGACAGCGTATAAAGCCCTAGTCTCCTACTTCGGTCCTCGTACGACATACTCCGTAAACTGGGGATGAGCCTGGTCGTTACATGCTGGACCTGTTCCAGTCTCTGCACCTCACCTATTGTGATCGGACAATAGACGGGTGAGCCGTACTGAAACACAGGTCTCATCATGGAAAAGAAAAGACGGGTGCCAATCTCTTTAAAGTGCTTAAGTTGCGTCTAAGTGCTCAAAGCAGACGTAATCCGTTTCCATAGTCTGTTAGTGTTGTCGACAGAGTTCAGATCACAGCGTGAGAGTACGCTTTAATCCTTTACATAACTGGTGGGATGCAGCGGGTGGCCGGCCAGGGTGTACGCACGTACATTACCATACTTCCCCATACTCATAAACGAGGACTTGGCCATGTTGACCGGTAGGTCAACTTCTGCAGGCCACTGGGATAGGCGATCGAGGTCCTTCTGAAGGACGTCACAGTCGTCGAGAGAAGCAATAACCCCAAATCTTCGTCGTCTGCAAATAGTGCACAAGACCACCGAAGAAGCTGAGGCATTTCGTTCAAGTGGATCAGGAATAAAATTAGTTCCACCACTGTGCCTTAGGGTACACCTCCAGTGGATGGGTACCATTCCGTTAAGTGTTCATTCACCTGAACCCGCCATCTTTTCCCAATAGGAAAGTCACTGATCCACTGGTACAGTGCGCCACCAACACCACACATTCTCAGCTTGTGGAGCAGGACCTCGCGGTTCACTTTAACGGAAGCTTTACTGAAATCAATCTAGATAACATCCGCAGACTTTCCCCGATTCAATGCTTGCAACCACTCCTGCCGCTTCAAGTGTAGGTTGGTGATGCACGGGCGGTCCTTCATAAAGCCATGCTGTGCCGGAGTTAGGAGATCTTTCAACTCCTGCAGAGGGAGAAGACCCTTTTTCGCAATCTTCTCGAGCACCTTCGCCAAAACAGAGGTGAGATAAATCGCCCGGTAATTGTCCGCATTGCGTGGGTCACCATCTTTTGGGATCGACTTCACTACCGCGCATTTCCAGTCGCTCGGTAATGCACTCTCGGACAGCGATCCGAAGACCTGTTGATCACTTTTAATTGCCCGTTTAAAAGACCAGGAAATATCACAGGTGAGGTACACCCGGTGCACCTAGGATTCAAACCCAGGCAGCACGGCTGGCAATCCGGCACGCTATCACTACTCTATGCTGGAGCTATAACGGTTACTAAAAGCTGGTACATGTTTTGTTGCAGACTACTGCCTGGGCTTCGGCTGAAGACAGTCAGCGATATGCCCCTTAGGGATGGTATGTCACTCAACGAACTAAGCGCGATGGGATGTAGATAATATGGTATGCTTTTGCCAATCTCCGCCACCTGTGGCGCAGACGCGACATTACTCTCGCCCTGAAGGGCAGAGTTTACAACGCAGCCGTGCGTTCAACTCTCCTATATGGTTGTGAAACTTGGCCCATCAGGTCGACAGACATGAAGAGACTCGTCACGTTCGATCATCGCTGCCTTCGCAGCTTAGCTCATGTCTGGTGGGAACACCGGATGAGCAATGAACGTGTTCGACGTCGCGTATTTGGTGCAGGAAGAGCGAGTGAACCGCTCAGCACGATTATATCACGCACCAGGCTCCGATGGCTGGGCCACGTGTTGCGCATGCCAGCACACCGACTCGCGCGACGTGCATTGTTTGCGCGTTGTGGGTGCGGTTGGAAGAGGAGGAGGGGAGGCCAAGTGATGACTTGGTCGAGAGAAATGAAAACCCTCACTTCGAAGTTGGCGTCGGTTGGTGCATCCCGACTGCCTGGCTGGGGTCCTAAGGACGGTGAATGCGTTTGGTTGGACACACTTGCTAATATGGCTAGGAGCCGGCACCAATAGCGTTTGTGTTGTGATTTCCTTTGTCCATCCCCCTCCAATCACGATATCACCTGTTAGGCATAATACGATTCTCTTTTACGGCAACCAGCTGTTAGCTCTCCGGAACGATGTCCATCCGTTACTGGGGACTCAGCGGGCGTGCCACTGTTTTCCTCTTTTCTTTTGTATTGCGGCACAATAGCTGAGGTGTTTTCCACCTCCAGCTAACGTGTAATTATGATGATGATCTTCTCAGGTGGCGATAGCAGGCATCAAACACGCGATCATTGTATAAACAGTGTCTTTAGTTAACTCCGTATGATTGTCGCTTGAACTCAGCTACTTGCTGTTTTGCGTTTTTACACTTATCAATTAGACCTTTGAGGGCAACCTCACAACCAAGCCTATCAACGGTGCCATTTTCATCTTCAACCCGAGAACAGGCCAATTGTTCTTGAAGATTATTCACACATCAGTGTGGGCCGGTCAGAAGCGTTTGGGCCAGTTGGCCAAGTGGAAGACCGCCGAGGAGGTTGCGGCACTCATCCGATCACTACCTGTGGAGGAGCAACCGAAACAAATTATCGTGACACGCAAAGGCATGTTGGATCCGCTCGAAGTACACCTTTTGGATTTCCCCAATATTGTTATCAAGGTATGTGGACGATGGCGTCGATTACTTGTTCGAATGGTAATCAGCTCTACTCACCAACTTCCTTTCGCACACGTTTCGTTTGTTGATTTGTTATCCAGATGTTCACTCTTCAGTAACGATAAGAAGTATATGCTTCTGTCATGTTCCACTAGACTTTAAGTTTCGGGGCCTACACGATTGGGGCTCAGTCCCTCAGATGCGCTTGCGAAGGTGAACTCTTTCCGTATAACGTCGACTTTCATCTAATGAGCTGTCCTGTTCATCGTGTGACGTCATAGGTGCTTCAGTCTTTATACGTCCACCAAAGTGCAGGTAACCATTAATCTCATACTTCGCTATCCGTGTGGTCTGGTCGAATCCCTTGAGTCCCTGTGGGTGTGCATGATAGAACAAATTACGCTCGTCTTTGCAATCTCCTTATTGACCGGATGCTCAAAAGACCACAATGGGGGAAATCCCTCAAGATTAGCAGCAGTTGCTTTAAACCACTCTAAAAGTTCGTTTTTGCCAACTCCGTTTCGCGGTCTGAAGTTCTTATTTCCCAAAAAACTGTTTTTCTTTTAAGATGTCACAGGCTGGTGCTTATGCTGTCGTGTTGAATCGGATTCGCTATTTAATGACACTCCATTGTTAAAGTCCTAGTGCACTTCCGTTATCTCTTTTCCCCACAACTTTCTAGGGTTCCGAGCTGCAGCTGCCATTCCAGGCTTGTCTTAAAGTGGAGAAGTTCGGTGATCTTATTCTAAAAGCCTCGGAGCCCCAGATGGTTCTGTTCAATCTGTACGATGATTGGTTAAAAAACATCAGTTCTTATACCGCCTTTTCTCGGCTGATTCTCATTCTTCGCGCCCTCCATGTCAACAACGACAAAGCAAAAATAGTGCTTAAGCCTGATAAGACCACTGTCACCGAGCCACATCACATCTGGCCCACCTTGTCTCCCGACGACTGGATCAAAGTGGAGTATCAACTCAAAGATCTCATTTTGGCAGACTACGGAAAGAAAAACAAGTAACTGCCTGACTTTCGTTTTTGTCCATTCGTCTCCCCATTTATGCCCGCTGTCGTGAACAGATTTGTTGTACTCATGATCTGATCCTTAGTATTCACTTTTGAGCACAATAAACATCTCGGTATCTATAGACTATAGAACGGTAACTTCTATCTACATTTCCCACCAGCGTCAATGTGGCTTCCTTAACTCAATCCGAAATCCGCGATATTATCTTGGGAATGGAGATCTCTGCACCATCCCAGCAGCGTCAACAAATCGCCGAGATTGAAAAGCAAGCAAAGGAACAGTCTCAGCTCACCGCCACTACCACCAGAACTGTGAACAAGCACGGGGATGAAATCATTTCCACCACCACCTCCAATTACGAAACCCTACATTTCAGCAGCAAGACTGAGTGGCGTGTACGTGCCATTTCAGCCACTAACCTCTATCTTCGCACAAACAATATCTATGTCAGCTCAGATGATATCAAGGAAAATGGATACACATATATTCTGCCCAAAAATATTTTGAAAAAATTCATCACTATTTCGGATTTGCGGACTCAGGTAGGCTCTTAATTTGTTTACTGAAGGACATCAGATACGCATCCTCTGTGAATTTTTAAATCCATTCCCTTCACTGTTTTCAGATCGCCGGCTATCTCTACGGTATTTCACCTCCGGATAACCCCCAAATCAAAGAAATTCGATGCATCGTGATGCCTCCTCAATGGGGCACTCATCAAACCGTCCACCTTCCCAATGTTCTTCCACAAGATGAATATCTGCGGGAGATGGAACCTCTGGGATGGATTCATACTCAACCTAATGAATTACCGCAGCTCTCTCCTCAGGTGCTTTTAATTTCTATCCATCTGCTATAGACTCAAAATCGCTACTACTAATATTTTTTCACTCGTCTATACATGTCACTTCTGACAAGAGAACATATGACTGTTTCGTCATTGTTACAACGAGTGCTTTAGCATTTTGTCAATGTTCGGGATTTTCGCCCCAATATCTTTGCTAGGTTCACTCGTTCATTATGTAACCCCTTTTGTCGCTGTTTGCTGTTTGAAATAGAGTGAGAAACAAAGTTTTTTCCACTGCGAATTCCCATTGTCACTGTCATGATCTGGTTCACTACTCCCAGTGATGAAACCTGTTATTAATTCGATTACACCTTAGCTCCAATCCACTGCAGCTTATTGCAACACTGACTGGGCTTTTTTAATTCTTCACATCGAACAATCTTCTGATGTTTAACCAAACCTTTTCACTAGATTAACGACTTGTTCAATCACTAACTTCCTTTTTCACGTTGGAACAGCAGCTTCTTTTTTTGGATCTCTCAATTAATAAGCGGAAACCCCTTGCTCACTGCTCTGCACCTTGTTATGTTACTGCATTTTGAAACATTCGTTTCTCTGAACTCCGATTAGATTCCATCGAGTAATTCTTATTCATTTTCGTATCTCATGCAGCACTGGAAGTACGTTTGGCTTAGTACCTCTCTCCGTTTGCAATGGTTACTCACTTTTCAATTCCTAATCTCATTTTCTTCGTTCTTGTCTTCTGTTAAGCTGGAATTTCGCCCTTGTCTGCAGCTTAAGGAATCGCAGCTTCTCTATCTCGTTTTCTGTTTGTCTTTTTTACTGAGCCTCTGCCCACATAATGCATCCGGCAATAACCTGTCGTTTTGCCCCTCATTGACCGTAGTGCTCTTCTCTCATGCCTCGCAGGATATAACCACGCACGCCAAAATTTTCTCCGAACAAGATGGCGAGAAGACAATAGTGATAACATGCAGCTTCACACCTGGGTCCGTGTCCCTTTGCGCGCACAAACTCACACCCGGTGGCTACGAATGGGGCCGTCAGAATACCGACAAGGGGAACAATCCGAAGGGCTACCTTCCGAGTCACTATGAACGGGTTCAAATGCTTTTGTCCGACAGGTTTTTGGGCTTCTTCATGGTGCCTCCTCAAACTTCTTGGAATTACAATTTCATGGGTAATGTAGCGTTTCTGGGAACATGTCCAGCTACACTCATGCTCTTGTTTATACTTTGCCATTCTCAGCCGCAGTATGCCTTGTGCCTCTGAATTGACCGAACAGCAGCTGCGTCTTGTTGCCTTTCTACAGGGACTTCACCATACATTTCCCAACCCTTCCGATTGCATTGCTGCATGGTGCGGCTAACTTGCCTAATATTATATAGCACAAGCGATATAACAACTATTTATGTTAGCCTTTCTCAGTAGGCGCATTGGATTTATTGTTGTCTCAGCTATAGTGAGGTAAAAAGTGATTGTTAAGTAGACGGAATAATCCGTTAAATGGTGCACCGGTCTCATTGGTTAGGGAGAAAAAGGACGATTTACGTACTTATCGGTTTGTCTGCTCTATAATTAGAGATAATTGGCCGGCGTCAGCTAAACAGTCTCCCGAGCATCCGGAGAGGCGTCGGACTTCCCTGTTGCGGCACAATAGCGGAGGTGTTTTCCCACATCCAGCTGATGTGTATAATGATGATGATGATGTTGGACTAGTCAGTAACGCGCATCCCTGGACCCACCAAGAACCGTCTGCTCACGTTATGCGCAGAGTATCGGTCGGAGTTATTGTAGAGAAGAGAGTTTCTGATGAGATGAATCCGATTTCTCACATTAATTACGTCACTCTGACGAGACTTTGTAGCACAATACCGCTCACTGTAGTTGGGCAACACTATTGAGTGTTGCTTGACCAAGATTTCTCCCCCTGCATTGATTAGAGATGACTCTTCTTTGATTCCCTAGCTTATTATCCTGCAATCGGAAATACTACTGTACTTGTGTCTCTACGCTGCAAAATCTGCATTTATGAAATATTAACTCCTGCATGCTATCCGGCCGTTCACTACGCTCCCACGATTTTTCGCCTTAGGTGTCCGACATGATCCGAACATGAAATACGAATTGCAGCCGTTGAAACCCAAGAAGTTCTATCACCGAATTCATCGACCTTCGCACTTTTTGAACTTCACATCTATCGAGGAAAGCGAGCTCGCCTCGGCCGATCGTGATAATCCACTTGCTTGATTCTGTCCTTTTTGTGTGCCCCTCCCCCAACTTGTTCCTCTTGTACACTTTCTCTTAACTTGCCGCAAAATATCTTCCAACTCCATTGTTTGTTAATCTGTCGTTCGTCATTTGATGAGACGGCCTTTGGTAAGGAGACAAACATAAGAACATCACTATCTTCGTGACTATGCCATATCCGAAGGGGTATTTAACCACTGATAATGCTCACCCAGACGCTCTTCCGGGGAGGTGACAAACATCAACCCGGTTCAGCTTTTTAACAAGCTTTTTCTACTCTCTTTTGCTAAGTCGTAGAATGGATTTTATCCATTTAGGTGTAGTGCTCGCGATTGATACATGCTGAGTTAGCCGACTCACAAGTATACGAAGCACATGGCCGAGATCGACCACCGCCTTTGTGTGCCACACGATTGTGCATTACAATCATGTTTCCAAACTTGCTCTGGATCCTTTTTATCATGTATTCGTTGTTCTACTCCGAAACGACCTTCGCTGGGACGTTCCAATGTATATGCTTCTGGTTCACTGGCCATCTGCAATTATAATTCAGCCGCTTTCCACACAAAATCTGAATCCCACCGCCATTTGGTCATTTCTGTGGTAAACGTTTCAGTATGTAAACACTAAACTTCAACCATGTACTGATCGTGTAGAAAATTCTGTCTAGTCATTGTTACTCTCGACTTCGTACTTTGGGCGTGCACTCTCTGCTCATGTTAGTGTGTGCAATTTCCAAACGCTCCTGTCATCATAGGCCTTAAGGTTTCTCTGTCTGCTTTTGCAATCATTGCTTAACGCTGCTTCTCAGGAATGACGTGCCAAGTTTTTATTGCCACCAAGGCACTCGTTATCTGTTGTTAATTTTTTGCATCCTCTATGAGTATAGTATTCTAGAGGCTTTGTGTTGCGCCATTTGAACCGTGCAAACCAAGTGGACAATAACTACGCTTGCTAGAATGAATGAAGTGCCAATATCGTCGTTTTTATAGCTTATAACATTAAATACTCGAATAAACTAGGTACATAACTCACTGCGTCCGGTATTGCACGATATCTCTTCGCTATTCGGATTCTCTGCATTCTTCGTAATTACATCTTCAGCTGAAAGAGACGCAGGGAATCAGCGACGATCAAATGTTAGCTTTGATAGTTTACCTTTTCGTGGCTAGGCTAGCCTTTTCACCGTCTTGTAGCGCGGATCTCAGCTAGCCACCGGGGTATAGTTTGGTAGACCACCTGGCCTGCGTGGGACGCAATCGAACCAACTTGATTGTCGCAGTTACACACTTATCAACCTGTACTTCCTAGGAAGCAACGTCTAACTTTCTCGTTAGGATTTTGGTAGTATCACCACACGCACGATTCTCTCCAAACTCCTATTATCAAAGAGCAAATGCTTATGCGTATACCAGTACGTATATTTCTCGGTTGTGCGAGAAGCTGTCCCGGAATTGGAGGCGGATCCTGAGCACAGCAATGATCATGCTCATGCATGAGTGATATATGTATTCTAGGGAGTGTCATCAAAACATTTTGAATCACATAACTTTTGTTGTTGCTGCGTTTTGTATAACATCTTTTCTCACTGGTTATATTATTTCTTGGTCCATCCTGGAAGAACTCTGGCGATTTACCCGATGGAAACATGGTCATTATTGAGTTCTGGTCCAGGAATTTCCTAAGTTGAATGCGAAATGCTCTTGCATTTGTGCAAGACCTGATATTGGCTAGTAGGCTATTCCACACGACAGCGTGTCTGAGGAAGACGAAGGTAGATAGAATAGCTGTCCTTGTTCTCGGCACAGAAAATCGTGAAGAAAGCATTGCTACAGTCAAAAGAGGTCCTGACGCCCGCACAGCACGGTTTTATGCAAGGCCGCTCATGCATGACAAAATTGCTTGTGACGATGCATGAGTTTTTGAAGGCAATAAGTAAGGGGAAGTCTGTTGACGTGATATTCATCGATTTCAGTAAAGCGTTCAACACGCTCAGCTATGAGGTTATCCTTCACAAACTCAGGATTTGTGGTGTCGGTGGCTCACTGCACTGGTGGATCCGCGACTTTCTTGTTGGACGAAAGTGGAGGGTACAGGTGGACGACCATCTAACTGACTGGTATCCCCCTACAAGTGGCGTGTCTCAAGGCACTGCACTGGGGCCCACTCTGTTCCTGATCCACATAAACGATCTACCTCAGCTTCTCCGGTCGCCGTGTGCCTTGTGTGCGGACGACATGAAGATTTGGAAAGAAATTGATGCTCCCGACGACTGGCCTACTTCAGCAATACCTCAACTGCCTATCCACATGATCTACAGAAGTTCATCTCCCGGTCAACCCAGCCAAGTCTGTATTTATGAGCCTGGGGAAGGGTGCTGACGGCCAACCGCTATATCCCACACCCTCCGTGAAGGACCTAGGTGTACTCTCGCGATACGATTCGAAGTCCCTGGACAACATGAACAGACTATATCGTAACGGACTGCGCATGCTTTGGGCGCTCAAACGTAGCTTCGGCACATGGTCTGAAGAGGTTACCACTTGCCTCTTCTCTTCCATCAATGCTAGAGTACGGTTCGACCGCCTACTTTCCGATTACCCGAGGCGAGGCACAAATGATCAAACGAGTCCAACACGTTGCTACCAGGCTCATCCCGAGTTTACGTGGCTTGGGGTATGAAGACTGGTGCGAGAAACTAAGACTTTACACCTTGTCCCACCGTCGGATGCGAGTCGGCCTCATTATGACCTACCGTATTCTACATCTCGGTGACTTCCCTATACTGAGGCCAGTGCTGCACTTACGAGGCCATGCAGCACACGTGGACACAGATACAAGCTTGTCGTGCCGGATGTGAAGCGTGGTATATATTTGGAACAGTTTGCCTGTACATGTGATGGAGGCAACATCTGTGCAGCAGTTCAAAATATTGTTAGCTTTATATTTTACCACTATTCGATTCAGATATTTTAAATGTTACATGAGAACGATATTCACGGCTGACAATTTTTATAACCCGCACCATATTTCGAAAGAGTTGCGCAGAACTCATTTCTACTTGCTCTATAATACAGTATTCAGTTAGTTTACAAGTTTTGTTGCGTATTTTTCGAGTGAAGTTGCCATTTAAGTGTGCATAGATTGGAGTATCTCTTTTGGTTTATGACATTGTGTATCAGCATCGGGTTATATTTCAGTCGTCGCAACGCTCCTGATAACTCAAGGTAAACGATTTACTGAGCAAGTTTTCCATAGCTTTCTTGTCACCCATACGCATGTTACCATAAATTATGCTGCAGTATACAAAGACGGGAAGTATGAGTATTTTGAAAAGCTCAATTCTGGCAGTGGTTGTATGGATTTCATGGCATATGTTAGCCATAGGTCGTTTAGTGTGTGCTATATGATACTCAGCTCGCTCTGAGAAATTGAAGTTTGAAGAGTACCGTATGACTGTATCACAGTTTCACAAAGATGCGTTCATTGTTCAGCCTAAACTGACTCTTCAGCGATCAAACGTCCATATAACATCATGCATGGTTTACTAGCTAAGAACTTTATCATCCATGTGTCGCATCATTTCTCAAGTGAATCGATCTCTTCTTGGTCGAGCAACCTCGCACTTTGTAGTTCGTCCCCTCGAAATTTATAAACAAGATTGATATAATCGGCGAACGAAAATGGGCTGCCCCGTTTGATGAACATTTTGATATTGTCAATGTAGAAGAGGAAACGAGAAGGGCCAAGTACACTTCCTTGGATGACACCACTAGTGATTGGTTGTGGAGAGGTGTTAGGATTACTCAGAATAACTATCTGGTGACGCCCATTTAGGTGTGATGTCAACCAATCCAGTAGTGGGTCTCTGATCCCAAATGACTCGACTTTTCCGGTAGCTGTTTGTGAGGCACCCGGTCGAATGCTTTTTGCATATCCAGGAACAACATTATAACTGCATAATTGGTCAGTGGATTCTGTTATGTTATCGTACGGCTGATAAATTGTACAGGAACGTTTAGCGAGGAACCCACTCTGCGACCCGTTTTCATATCTCCACACTACGCCAACGTTTCCATTGTAGACTCTGCTCTTTACTGGTAGAGGTGCCGCGACTGTTTTGCATCGGAAACATCAATAGATACATCCTTCGTAATATTAACAACTGAATCGTCATCCCTAGGTATACAGCTGTTTACATCCAAGGCTTCCTCAAGAACCTGATTGTCAGTCTTGGAGTTGCGCTTTGCACCTCAGAGAGATGAAATGCCAAGCATACTTAGATGCTTCAAGTGGGTGGGATCACCGACTACAGCGATGTTAGCATGACTGCCCTGCCTCATGGTTACTTGCAGGAGCCTCTACACCAGAACCTTAGTCTTCCAGACTTCGTGACCGTGAGAATTAATATCAGAAACAGAAAGTAGCGAACAAGCTTGTTTTCAGGGTTTCATCATTAGGCTAATACAACCACAACAAAGCAGGCTAGAATAGACACAATGGGTTTAAATTCCATGAGTCACTGAAGCAAAGTAACTAATCGCTAAGATTACGTTATTGCTCTCGTTAAGGTGAAGTGGCGTGACTGCCATTGTTAGTCGCGTTAGCTTGGGGCCAGGGTAGGGTTAAAGTATGAACGAGTTTTTCCTGTGTACATGCATTCGGGTGGCCGAGTGGTATGCGCGTCTGCTTTGCAACCATAAGGTCACCGGTTCGAATGCGCGTAGGGGCGGGCGTCCTCGCGGTATACTCAGCCCACGCGCGACTGGTGGTGGTCGCGTGGCAGCGAAGCGCCGTTACGGTGTTCAGCGGGCGATTTGTTATCTATTTATGTCGTCTTCCGGTCCCCAGCCCGGCAGTCGCGAGACACTAACGGACGCCAACTTCGAAGTGATGATTTTCATTCCTCTTGACCAAGTCACCGCTCAGCCTCCCTTCCTCTTCTTCCATCCAGATTCCCGGCGCGTAAACAGTGCACTTCGCGGGAGTCGGTGTGTTGGCATGCGTAACACGGGGCCTAGCCATCGGAGCCTGGTTTGTGATATAACGCCGCCGGGCAGTTCACTCGCTCTTCCCGCATCAAATAGACGACGTCAAACGCGTGCTTTGCTTACGCGGTATTCCCACTCGACTTGAGCTAAGCTGCTATGGCAACGATTATCGAAGGTGGCTAACCTTTTTATTTCTGTCGACCTGATAGGCCATCTTTCACAACCGTACAGTAGGGTTGAACAGACGGCTGCATTGTAAACTCGCTTTCAGGGCGAGAGTGATGTCGCACCTGCGCCGCAGGTGGCCGACCTTGGCAAAAGCGCCTTGTGATCTCATCTTCCATTCCAATAGGGCTGCTATCGCTGTCTAGATACTTGAATTTTTCGACGGCTTTTAGCTGATCACCGAGGGTCATCGCAGGAGTGAGTTCCTGCCAATCTTGGTGAGTGACTTTGTACTTCGAGGGTGCTAAGCATAGCCCGGAACGGTTAACAGCCAATGCTAATTTGTCCAGTGCTACTTTGCACGTTTGAACGCCGCCACAGATAAAGACAATGTCGTCCTTATACTACAAGTCAAGCAGTCGTTCACCTGGGAGCAGTTCCACGCCTTACAGGTCGGGTCCAGTGAACGCAGTTTCCATGATCTCGTCGATAGAGAAGTTACAAAGGAAAGGTGACAGCAGGCAACCTTGTCTCACACTGCTGGAGATATTGAAGGGCGGTGACAGCTTGCCGTAAGCGCTCACTCTGCCCGAACTATGCGCGTACAGCGCTCCGATAACATTCACATATTTATGGGGCACACCCACAGTAGACAGTTTCAAAGGTCACATCGATCAACCCAATCGAAAGCACCTTTTGATGTCGAAGAACACGATTACGGTGGCTCGCCGATAAATATGACG